AAACCCCCCCCCCCCCCCCCCCGTACTGAGGATCGAACTCTGGTCCTTGCACTTGCAAGGCAGGTGGTAGAAAGAACCACTGAGCTAAATTTCCGGCCCTCAAGTAATCTTAGTGAATGAAATAACAAACTGATTTTCTTTGCTGAATATCAAACATCTGTACCTTATCACTGAGGTATTGTCAAGTATTGTCAATTTACTGGTCAGTGTCTCTTAATTTATCTTAGAGTTTTAAAGTTAGCTAGTTGTCAGATTTTCTGACTGAACTGGATCAAAGATCTTAATACTTAGTAGATTTGAGGTGAGATTATATGATCTAGGTGCTTTATTCTGTAATTTTGCCTGAACCAAAAGAAAATACACTAGGATATTAGACTACTCTGTCACTGGGAGAATCTGTGTCTTTGTCTTGGGGTATAGTTTAACCTGAAGCTTCATGCATTCCCAAATGTTTTTAAGTTTTATTCATGCTTCTTTTCCCTCAGAACCCTTTATGAAGTTAATTTTCTTTGTCATTTCATAAATGCATCTATTCTCTTTTATTCTTTTTATGGTCCATTTGGATTCTCTGTCCTTTTCCAGTTTTTCTTTGTTAGCCAGCTCTAGTCATTTTATTTGTTATGAACATAGCAATGAGGTAAATTTTTTTTTTCTCAGTTCTGGTAGGCTTATGCCCTTCGCATCAATAGAAACAATTTGTGTCTAGATTTCATTTAGCTTGTTCAGCACGTGGAAGGCCCTTGGATTCAAGCCCTGGCACTCCACCCCATCTTTTTCAGTCAGATTGGAGTTATTTTTTGCAGAAAAGTGGCAAATTTCATATCACCTCCTTCTGCAGCCAGTGATAATTTTGCCATATGGTAGCTTTATATAAATTGAAAAATTACTAATTTCATTTGATTTTGGGTAGGTTTCAGAACTGTACAGCAATAAGTGTTTAAAATTGGATGTGGTTGGGCTAATGATCAGCAGTGTGAGACAGCCATTTTGAAGTTGTAGGAGTACATTATTTCATATAAAATTGATCTTGTTCATTACAAATGTCTTAGGTCATTCAAGTAGAACCCTGAAGGAAGATAAGGCCTCTTCAGCAATTTTTGATATGACTCACACTTTGAAATACTGAAAAAAACCTTGTAGTTGATATTTTTAACTTTTTGACATGTTCATTCATGCCTTCATTGGTAGTTTTTTTTTTTTTGTTTTTGTTTTTGGCTAAAATGGAGGCTAGAAGCAGTTACTAGTGAGTTGATTCACCAATGAATTGATATATACTAATTGGTTGAATACCTGAAAGCTTGGTAAAATCAGAACTAACTAACCTAGCACCTTTTAACAAGTCTTTGGAAACTCTTGTATTAGTGCTGACACCATAGCAGTTTGATACAGAGAAGTTGGTTTATATTGGGTTGATAAGACTATGTAAATAAATACCTTGGGGATTTAATCTTGTCACAGTACATATCTTTCCCCCTTTTGGACCTCATCAGTTTTAACAGGTGTCTTTTTGGATATAAAGGTCTATGTGTGCCACGCATGGTGTATCTTGAGCTTTTGAGTTTGTTTTTATTTAAAAAATTGATTTGTGGTACTGTGGGTTGACCTCAGTGGTGCTCTACCAGTGAGTTACATTGCAAGCTGTTTCTTTTTGTTTCATTTTGAGCCAGGGTCTAGCTAAATTCCCAAGGCTGGCCTGGAGTTTGTGATGTTGCTGTTTTTTTCAGCCTCCCAAGTAGCTGGAATTAAAGAGAAGTGTTGTTTTGTTGTTTTTTGTTTTTGTCTTTGCAGTACTGAGGATTGAACACAGGGCCTTTGTATTGAGCTACATCCATATCCTTCTTTATTTTTTTATTTTGAGACAGGATCTTGCTGGAGTCCTGGCTGGGCTTTAATTTGTGATCCTTCTGCCTCAGTCTTCTAGAGAACTAGGATTATAGGCATGTGCCATTGTGCTTGCCTACCATTTTTTTTTTTTTTAAGGATGGATTTTTCACTGTTTCACATGTTTATCTGGTTTATGTGACCTTTAGCATACATTTATAGAGCAATGATTTTCAAAGATGTATTACTGTGTAAAAGCAAATGCTATTGATACAGATTTCTCCTTGCACAATGTTTAACTTTCAGTTTTTCTTTCCATGATTAATTTTTGACATTTTCTTGGTACATTTCATCTATCTGAGCTAAAGTCAGCCTTGGAGAAAGCACAATTTTAAATAAGATTTAAAATTCTTTTTATGTATTTTAGATTCTGGAAGTTACGGTCAGTCTGGGGGTGAGCAGCAAAGGTAAAGTATACATACATTTTTGAAAATAATAAAAGGCTAAAAGAAAAGATGAATGTAGTCAGGCCTCTCTCTTGAGTTTTGGTATTTGGATGTTTTAATTACATTTTAGCGTGTCACAGGAAGAGAATGGGCCTGTGCAATAAATAGATGCTGTGAAACATTTCTTTTTGCATCTGTACGTTTAGATGCTTCTTAGAGTAAAAGAATCTCTTACGTATTGTAAAGATTATGTTTTCTTAGGAAATTAAGAGATCATTATTAAGGGGATACAGTAAATACTTAGAAAAAGCATGTTTTTGATGGTATATAATATGCTACTATGTTTTTTGAGCAGATTTTTCAGAGCCCTTAAGTTCATAACAAAAACTTTATTTTTATGTGAATGTGTACACGTAATAGGCTTTCCTTGCTTATCAGGACAACTTTTCTACTTTTCCAATAAATGATTTACCCAGTGTGAGATTTCAGAATGGTTTAGTCATCAAAGTTTAAGCTTCTTGAAAACAAAACTAATTTGACTTTCTTTATTTTCAAATAGGGTTAAAAAACAAAAAGATAGTTAACCTCCCAGTAGGCATCTGGCAAGGTTGTTTATGTATTTTTAAAAGTTTAGGAACAAATGTTTTGTTTTTATTAGGATATTTGAAGGTCACATATGTATTGAAAAAATTTGTTTCTAGGGCGGGGATGTGGCTCAGTAGTAGAGTTCTTGCCTAGCATGTATGAGGCTCGGCTTTCAATCTCTAATACTACAAAATAAAACTAAAAAACACAAAGTTAGTTTCTGACTTCCTGGAGCTTACATGCTATAATATTAAAGAGAATTTAGATATAGGAAGGTCTATTTATTCATTTAGTGAAAATTTATTGAATTCTTGCCAGGCTTTGCTAGGATACTGAAAATACAATATATTGTAATTTAATTTTGTGACAGTACACTGAAGGTATGCATACTTCTAATTACTGAGGAATTTAAACTGGACTTTTAATGCCATATTGCTTTTTCTGTGAATTTAAAAACTTAGGCAAATTGTAGGAAGAAATTAATTTGTCAGAGTGCAGCTGAACTGAAGTAATAAGTTATATTTCTGCTTGTAATATATTTATTATGAGCTGAGTGTGGTGGCACACTTGGGATGCTGAGGCAGGTGGATTGCCTTGAGTTTAAAGCTAGCCTGACCAGTGAGTTCACGGGCCACCTAAACTATGTAGTAAGACCCTGTCTCAAAAAAAATTTTTATTTTTTTAAATGGGTCTTGCCATGTAGTTTTCAGGAAGAAAACTTGTTTAGCTGTGCATGATGTAAATACTAGAAAAATTCAGATTTCTATAGGTTAAAATAGCCTGATAGAATTAAGCTTATCAGTGCTTACCTCTTATTATTTTATTATTTATCCCAAAGCATAATTCCCTTGAGATTTTCCAGCTCTGATGAAGTTTTATTTATGGGAGTTTGTTAAAGCAAAACTTTGGTACTTGTTCAATATTCAAGAGGTCTGGGAGTGACTGAGTGACTTTGTTGACGTGTCTAATAGTCTTTGATCATTACATTTCAGTTTAGGTCTTAAGAAACAGGTAGATTGACAGGTCTCAGAAAAGAAGACTATCTGAGTTGAAAGTTGAAAATGAGGATAGGGTTCTTCCTTTAAGCTTTTCTTTTTTTTTTTTTTGGTTTGGTTTGGTTTGGTACCAGGGATTGAACGCGGGTCCTTGCACTCGCGAGGCAGACAGCAGAACCACTGAGCTAAATCCCCAGCGTAGCTTTTAAATTTCTTTAAGCACATTTCTTTGAAATATTACTCATTTGTGTTTTACAGTTATTCTTCCTATGGAAATCAAGGCAACCAAGGATATGCACAAACTCCACAAGTAGGTTGAAAAGTAAATTGTCTTCTTCATAATGTTATTTTTATTTTAAGTAGGTGGTGAAACTTGAATATCTATATTTCAGAGCTATTCTGGCTATGGACAAACAACTGATTCTTCATATGGGCAGAACTATGGCAATTACTCCAGTTATGGACAGAGCCAATCAGGTTGTACTAGCTTGTTAAATTTGCTATTTTAGAGGTTCTGAAATCAGAAACTTCACTAACTGGTGTACCTATCTTTAGGTTATACACAGTCTTATGGTAGTTATGAGAATCAAAAGCAGAGCTCGTATGGCCAACAGTCGTATAATAACCAGGGACAACAACACACAGAATCACCAGGAAGGTAAGGAAGCAATAAGAGCACTGAGATTGTTTTGGGCAGTGTAAATAAGTAGATTTCATCCCCGGAATCCTAGCTTTACAGTTTTCAGTGACTACCTTGTAATTTCCATTTTGTTTTTTTAGGTGCTGGAATTGAACCCAGGGTCTCACATATGATAGACAAGCAGTCTACCACTGAGCTTTATCCCCAGCCTCTATTTTATTTTTGAGCTATTCAGTTGTATACCTTTTCATATTAATTAGAAAAATGGCTAAAACTTGCATGTGTGAGATATTCTAGAATAGTGGTGGTGAACCTATGGAATGCATGTTTTTTTTTTTTTTAAGACAAAAGATAAATGTATGAGCTGTTTTTTTCTGAAGTAAAACCTTAGTACAGTAAGTCTCTGACTTAGGAACGAGTTTTGTTCTGCAGAACATTTATAAGTTGGACTCAGACTGGGAATTTAGCTCAGTGGTTGTGCCGCCTGCCTCGCAGGTGTAAGGTCCTGAGTTTGATCTCCGGTACCGCCCCCCCAAAAATAAATTAAAAAAATAAGTTGGACTTGTTCTTAAGTCTGACAAAATGAGTCTCAATTGTTGTCACTTTTGACATGGAATATACAGTGTAAAGCATAAAAATCCAAATGCAAGGTCTGTTCATATCTGAAAGTTTGCAACTCAAATGTTAGTAAGTCCGAGACTTACTGTATTCAGGATCAATTGCATTTTTGGCACTTTGTGATAAATACTGTAAGTGACATCCCTCCACACACACACTGGGGATTGAACTCAGGCATGGCACCACCGAGCTAAATCCCTGGCCCTTTCTCGTTTTATGTTGCAGTTTGGGCACTCAACTCTAAAAGGTTCATTGTCACTGCCTTTGAATATGTTTTGTTTGATAATATAGATAAGTAAAATTTGTCAGTGAAGTGTAATAGGTTTTATAAAGCTTTTCGAAATTTCTACTTTAAAGAGCCTGTATTTATTATTCATAGCATCTTTTTAGTATACATTTTGAGGCCCTTAGATAACACTGAGATTGTTAATATACTTAAAAAATATGGCAGAAATTGAGGTCTCTAGCGCTTTCTGTATGCAGTGAAACAAATTACTCTAAATGAAATTAAAAACTTTTGGGGAAAGGATCAGACTTAGATAAGGGAATGCTTTGAAAAATAGAAATTAGAGTACAAACATAGAGAATAATATCCATAAGTCATGCTGTACCGGGAAGAATAATTCTTCAAGACCTATTGATTTACTATATTTAGTTATTTTTTTGGTGGTGCTGAGGATTGATTATAGCCTCCACATCCTAGGCAACTTCTCTGCTGCTGAGACACATCCTCAGTCCTTTTTAAAATTTTACTTTGGAGCAGGTTTTTGCTAAGTTGCTAAGGCTGGCCTCGAACTTGTTATCCTCCTATCGCAGTCTTCTGAGCAGCTGAGATTATTGCAGGTGTGCCACCATGCTTGATAATGAGAACTTTTTTGCTTTTTTTTTCCCCAAGTAAACCTATTGGAACTCAGTTGAAGTCAGTTAAATGTTGCCTTTTACCTTCCCACCCTGAGAGCAGATAATCAATACATATTGCTCCAAACATACTTGGAATTTTCCTTTTCTGAGGCAAGGTCTTACTGTGTTGCCCCAGCTGCCTTGAACCTCCAAGCTCAAGTGATCTTCCTCTCTCAGCTTTCTGAATAACTGGAACTATAGGGAGTTACCACTGTGCCTAGCTAGAATTTTCCTTTTGAATTGACAAAAATAAGAAAGCTTTCTTAACTATTTGATAGACACTTAAAATATAAATCGTGTATTAGTTTTCTGTAATTTACTTTTGAAGATTTAGGAGAATGTACTATAGGTTCTCAATTCTAAGAGAATAATTGTAAAATTACTGCAAAGGATGACATTGTTAAAATGATGTTGCAAGGCCTCTTAGTATAAAAAACTGATCACATAGGCCTGGGATGTAGCTCAGTGGCACCTCGCCTGTCTGGCCAAGTGCCAGATCCTGAGTTTAATTCCTAATACTGGTGGGGGGAACGGACACATATGTCATGTTAAAGAATCAACACTGTTCTTTGAAGTGTTTTGTACTTTTTTTTTTTTAACTAAAGGAGATAATAAAAATCATAGTTATGTCTTGTTTTATTACAGTTTTCAGATGTAGATGTGGTTTTTTGCATAACGTGGCAACTCTTTTGACTCCACTTCAGTAATGATGAATTGTCATTTGAAGGGTATTTATTTCGTTCATGATAAGGAGACTGTACATAAAAAAGCCAAATAATTACCATGAGAAGTGCTATTAGATAGAGATGAATTACAACATCTTTTATGCTAGTCTCAGTCAACTTGTTAAACATAGTCAAATTTCCTATAAAGCCTGTCAAATTTTTTATTTCTTTTTAGCCAAAGTGGAAGAGCACCTTCATATGACCAGTCAAACTATAGTCAGCAAGATTCATATCACCAGCAGTCAGGCTATGATCAACATCAAAGCTCGTATGATGAGCAATCAAATTATAATCAGCAGCATGATTCCTATAATCAAAACCAGTCCTATCATTCACAAAGGGAAAACTACAGTCACCATACACAAGGTAAGATACAGTGACTTGTGTTCTTTTCTTCACAGAATTGTTTTTATATTGTGTTTAGATTAAAAGACCCACAGGATTTCATATTTGTAAAAATTTGGGTGAACTTGTATATACATTTCTTTTCTTGGGGCCATAAAAGCTGTTACCAGATTTTTCTTTTTCTTTTTCTTTTTTTTGTTTTTGGTACTGGGTATTGCACTTGGGTCCTTCCGCTTGCAAGGCAGGCCACCGAACCGCTGAGCTAAATCCCTGGCCCAGATTTTTCTTTTTTACCTCCTTGGACACTCCCAGTGGATGCATGACTTTTTTGATGACTGATTACATGAGTTTTCTTTGTTGTCTCAGTGAACTCTGATCGTGTGACATTACTGTCGTTGCCATTTCTTTTGGTGACAAGGGTTGTACTTAAATTGGGGAAATTATTCTATTCAGTATTTGCCTTCCCTAACTTTACCTAAGAAGGACCAATCATTAATTTTTCTCTTGTCCCATAACTACCCTGAATACACCACTGGTACTTTGGCTTCTGTGAACTTTGTGAAAGTGAACGATTAAGGGCAAAGGTCCTAAGTTACCTGTTTTGTGTGTAGTTACACCTTGCTTCATAGTAAGTGTTCAGTAAATGTTTGCAGATTTTTTCCCTTACTCCTGGGGCGCAGGGCCTTGCACATGGTACATGGTAGCTACATACTCCACCACCATTGAGCAACATACATCTTTTTCAATAATTGAGAATGAATGAATGTGGAAGCCCATTTGTTTGGTAGCCTCTCTGTTTGGTAATCCAGTTATGCTTTTTCATAGTACTGGCTGAACCTAGATCCTTCATACTGAGTGAAGTGTATCCCAGCCCTTTGAAAAACTTTATGTTGTCAGTCTTCCTCAGTTACTGAGTTGCTCATCCTTGGTTTGAACTTGGAATCCTCCTGGCTCAGTCCCCCAGTGTGCTGGAATTACAGGCATACACACCTTGCCTGGCTCCCAATTATATTTTGTCTATGCTTAGTTTAGTTTAAATTTTTTTTTTTTGGGTATCAGGGATTGAACTCAGGACGTTGCACTTGCAAGGCAGGCATGGTGCTGCTGCACTAAATTCTCGGGCTCAATTTAAATGTTTTTGAAGCAAAGAAAGTAGTAACTTTCAAGACTTGGAGTGTGCTTTTTTATGTGTAAGTTATTAGGTTATATTTTAACTCATTCCACATTACCGTTTTGTCATCTCATTTTCTAGAAGTATGGAATTCGACACATATAGTTCTCAAACATATTTAATTCCTGATGGCTTTATAATGACTTGCATTTGAGTTCTATGCATATGTACCTTTTCCCAAAGGAAAAACATATGACCTAAAGAACCCTTGAAGGTTATATTATGTGAATCACTTTTCAGAAATGACAGTATTCACTTAGGTATATATATTTTCCTTTTATAGATGACCGTCGTGATGTGAGTAGGTATGGAGAAGATAATAGAGGATATGGCGGGTCACAGGGAGGAGGTAGAGGGCGTGGGGGATATGACAAGGATGGAAGAGGTCCTATGACAGGATCAAGGTAAGTATTTAGATATAGATACCTTCATTTTTTCTCTCTTTTTTTTTGCTCTTTTTTTGGTGGTGTTTTGCTTAATTCTGGCATTTACATAAGAGATCTTTAGGAATTATAGAAAGGAGGATGGAAATTAAAAACTTATTTTCAATCCAACATCTCATGAATTAGAATTGGCTATATTAGCATTTATTTTACATGGTATATAACAGTTTTAAAAAAAAAGTACTGTACTATAGTTGTGGTTAAACCACTTGACTAGGTTTTTCCTGCCAGACCTAGAAGCTAGAGTCCTTTAAAAGATGACTCTGGGAAAACAGTGTTTTGTTTAAAAAAAAAAAAAAAAAAAAAAAGTAGGTTAATTCGAAATTGGAAGCCGGAGAGTCTATTCATTAATCTTCAATTTCTTTGAGCGGAGAAAGATTAGGGTGTTTTGTTTTGTTGTTTTGTTTTGTTTTTTGTTGGTACCAGGGATTAAACTCAGGACCTTGTACTTGTGAGGCAGGAGGTGGAACCACTGAGCTAAATCCCTGGCCCAGGGCTATTTTTTAAAAACATATATTAGGTATAGCAGAGTAGAAAGGTGGGATTGGCAAATAAGAGAAAGATTTAATGTAAAAAAAAAAAATCAGTGTAATGTTGCATGCTATTCTGTATTTTATCTAGAGTAAGCTGTGATAAAAGAATGATTTTTAAATTTCTTTTCTCCATTGCTAGTATTGTTAGTTTGTGGTGTTTTTACCCCCTCCTTATAGGCATGTTTCAGAAGCTGTTTTTAAAATTGTTTTTAAATATATCTGTAAAGTTATCACTTTAGTCCTAAAAACAAGAATGAAAAAGTGGTTGCCACCTGTTCTCAAGTGAGATTTGTTGATTGTAAATTTGTTTGTAAAATACACATGCTTAAAGATAGCTTATTTTCTTGGAAATTGAAATTGTCAGTTGCCTGTTACTTATACTTAGTAATATATCAGTACCATTTTACTCTTAAGATCCTTAGGGATTGATTGTCCCCTGAGATAAGAGAAACAAAACCAGTATATATAGACTTATTTTTTCATTGACTTGTGTTTCTTTATTTTTCACTATACATTGCATCTTGATTGGTAGTTGACCAATGTAAAACAAATTCATCATATGCCCCTTATCAAAGAGAGCAGTCTGCTCTCAGTACAAATATAAATGAATGACATAAAGTAACGTGGTACTTTCTACTTATCAGCCTCCCTTCCACCTAAAACAGGGTTCCAAAACAAGATAACCAACAGATATATTTAATTTTCCATTTGATGTGTTTTAAATGGTGGCCATGGAATGCTGTACATTTTATAGTACATTATAAGTTCAATTTCATAAAGAAGTTAACCCAGTAGAGTATCTGTTAAACTGTGATAGTGTGACTGAGAGTGGTGGAGTTTTTAGGAGGAAGAAGGTAGGGAATAGGTAGAAGTCTTTATAAATAACAATTTTTATGTATGAGGACTTGTAAAATCTTACAGCTAGAGATTTGAGAAGACTTTGAATGATGTTTCTGATAAGGAGTGAGTACCTTAGCAAAGTAGGGGTCCAATTTTTAAGCATTATAACCTTAGCAATGTATTTTAGTATAATTTGTGGCCTATATACCCATGATGAAACAAGTTTTTTCAATTTTTCAAATCTTTTATTTACCTTTAGAAGCCCTTCATACAAAATCTTGGGCAGAAGTTCGGTATCTGTTTGGTCAAATTATACTGATCTGGTTTAAGTGGTAGTAAAACTGGGGTAGGGACTCTGCAGTCTTGCTTCTCTTCCCCATGCCTCAGTAAATGAGATGTTCACAAAAGGCCTGTTTTAGAAAGGAAAGATCGGGGCCAGGGATTTAGCTTAGCGGTTCGGTGGCCTGCCTTGCAAGTGCAAGGATCCAAGTTCAATCCCCGGTACCAAAAAAAGAAAGAGAGGAAATATGATTATTCTCTATATCAAGTTGGCAAACTTGATGTGAAAGGCCAGTAAGTATTTTAGGTATTCAGGCCACGTGATTTTTGTTGCAAGTCTTTAGCTCTGAGCGCCTGAGTGACCATAAATAATATGTAAATCATTAAACATTGTTGTGTTTCGCTGAAACTTCATTTATGGATACTGGTCTAAAATTGGAAGTTTATATACTTTTCATGTGTCATGACATTTTAAGACGTGCTTTTCAGTTTATTGGGGTAAAGCATTTTGAATTGAGTATAAATACCAAGTTAAAAGATTGTTTTTTTACATTTGGTTTTGCATTTAAACACTAAAAATAACCAAGCATTTTTCATTAATTGTCATAAGCGTTGCCATTTGTGGTGTTAATCATCTTAATAGCATTGAAAATGTTATCTTTTGGGTGCTCCTTTGAAGAGTAGCTGGCATTAGTTGAATTTATATTTAAAGAAATAGTAATCTAGTTAATGGATGATGGTCAGATATGTGGTAAAGAATAAGACATTCTGAGACTTAAATTCTATAACTGCTTGGTTGGTGGAAGAATTTAGAACAAAAGGAAGCCTTCAGCTTTCCAAATATGGAGGAGAGAATGATGAAACTTTTAGGCAATATAGGAAGCATAATCTATTGCTTTGATTTAAAAAAAAAATTATTTTTTAAGACAAAGTCTCGCTGTATGGATTAGGCTGGTGTTGAGCTCAGTATGTAGCTCAAGGTGGCCTTGAACTCATGCAATCCTCCCGCCTCAGCCTCCTGAGTGCTAGAATTGCAGGCTTGTGCCACCATGTCTGGCTCCTATTCTGTTTCTTTGAAAAAGCTGTTGTAGCAAAGAAGATTAAATTTCTTATTATTGTCCATAATTGACATTGACCTCTTAGTGGACTAGAAGTTAAGACCATAAATTCTGTCCATGTCTTTTTAATTGTAACATTGTGATTACTGCTTTGCAAAATTGCCAGAACTTCTTAGATAAGTGTTAACTTAGGTCATCAAGGCTTTTATAGTGAAGTGTCTTTTTCTTAAAAATGATTAATTAGTTCCCACATTTCTGTAGTTAACAGTACACTGTCACAGCCTTGGAACTTAGTAACTTTAATAAATTCAGTTGATATTAAAAAAATGTATATGTGTCAGACATAATGGTGCATTCCTATAATCCCAGCACTTGGGAGGCTGACTGGGGGATTGCTGCGAGTTCAAGGCTAGTAGGGACGACACAGTGAGTTCATGACCAGCTTGAACTTGAGACCCTGTCTCAAAAAAACAACAAACCAAAAAAGGTATATATCTTGGTGACAGTCTAGGAAGGCACTGGCCAAGAAAGATACAATGTGAGTGACAAACATGAGGTGTGCATGTGATTTAAAGTTTTCTAGTAGCCACACTTAAGAAAAAGGAGAACTGGGCATATATAACTCAGTGGTAGAGATTTTGCCTATCATTTAGGCCCTGGGCTCAGTTCTCGATACTGTACACACACACACAAACACAGAAAAACCCAAATGGGGCTGGGGATTTAGTTCAGTGGTAGAACATTTGTTTAGCAAGCGTGAGGCTCTGGGTTTGGTCCTCAGCACGAAAAAAAATTCTTTTTAAAGGAGAAAAACAAATGGGTAAATTAAACATCTAAAATAGAATTTCATGTAGTTATTGTAAAAATTCTTTTTGTTTGTTTTTGTTTGGTATCGGAGATCAAACTTGGATCCTTGCGTTTGCAAGGCAGGCACTGGAACCACTCAGCTTAATCCCTGGCCCTATTGTAAAAATTCTTAATGAAAGCCAGATGTGATGTTGCATACCTGTAATCCCAGGCTGAAGGTTTGGAAGGCAGAGGCAGGAAAATTGTACATTTGAGGCCACCCTCAAATGGAACTGGGTGAGCAAGACATCTAAGGGCTGGGGATGTAGTGCTTGTCTAGCCTGTTCAATATATCATCAAAAATACTTTTTTTTTTTTTGGTACCGGGGATTGAACTTGGGTCCTTGCACTTGCAAGGCAGGCCACCGAACCGCTGAGCTAAATCCCCAGCCCCTCAAAAATACTTTTTTAAATGAAAAAAAAAATTCCTTTTTTAATACTAGAACTTAGAAATCCATCTTATATTTGCATTTAGAGCACATCTCATACTACTAGCTACATACCCAAGTACTGAGTAGCTACTTGTATTTACTGTATTCGACAGGGCTTGGTCTTCTAAAATGTTGACAAATGCTGAATCCAGAAAGCCTTTTTACCATTAACATCCAACATGGAAGGAAGTGAAGTGTAAGCATAGCTACTATTGAGAATGATTTTTAAATTCAGTGAGTCATTTATATTTGAAGTTAATGTTGATCTTTTCCTCAGACTCCAAAATAGTGTATAGTGTATTCTGTACTTAGCAGTATAAAAACTCAAGCAGGGCATCAGTTTTTAAATTACTCTTTCAGTTTTTAGTTATGTCCCTTTTGTTGCTATTTTAAATTTTTCTAGTAATAAAAGATTCCTACATTGTTCTTTTACTTCTTGGCAGTTTTAGTCCTTGCATAGAGACATTTATATTGATTGATTGGTTGACTGATTTTGGGGTTGTTTGTTTGTTTTTGAGACAGGGTCTCGATTTGTAGTTCAGGCTGCCCTTGAACTATGTAGGCCAGGTTGGCCTTGAATTCGTGGTGAGCCTTCAGTCTCAGCCTCACTAGTGCTGGCATTACAGGTGTGTGTCACCATGTTAAGCTAGATTTTGTTTGTTTGTTTAAAGATTGGCAACAGTGTCTTTTTGTTAGTGTATTTTTTCTTTCTTGACAGGCAGTTGAGGTTGAATCTGATTATCTTCTCTGGATAGGTCATATAATAATGAAGGTACCCGCAGAGTCTACCTTAGGGTAGGATGCTCATTGTGGTTTTGAACTTAGGGGGAGCCATCTCCATGAATCAAAAAGTGTGCAGCAGTTTTTATGCAGGAGGTACTCAGCCAATAAAGTTGACTATCCTACATTATATATAAAATATTTATATATATAATATTGTATATATATTAAATATCATTACTGCTTCATTATAAAATGTCTTTATTCAGTAATTCTTGATGTGTGTATGTCTGCTGCTTTTTCTGGGACTGAAAATGAATTTGTTATTGGCAACATCTTGACTCACGTGATGAAGTACCTTTGTGTCTTAATGTGCTTAGCAAGTCCTCAGTATGTGGTAGGGGACTTGGAATTTGCAGGTTTGAAAGCAAGACTTAGCAGGCATATCTTTTGTTATGTAATAGTGAGTATTTTATTTACTATATTTAATAAGTTTTCTAATGTGGGTATAACTAATGTAGAATTTCCTATTAAGGAGAAAGAAATGATTGAAATATCTTTTTCTTTTCTTTTTTGGTACTGGGGATTGAACTCAGGTCCTGTGCTTGCAAGGCAGGCAGCAGAACCACTCACTTGAATCCCCAGCCCTATTGAAATATCTTAATATAAAATTGCACATCACTTGAACGAGTGTGTCTTAGATATTAATGTGCATATGAATAACTTAATAATTACTTATGATTTACTTATTAGAATGTAGGTTCTGATTCATTAAGTCTGGGTGGAGACAGACCCTGCTTTTCTGAATTGCTCCTAGGTGGTGCTTTTGCTGTTTTGCTTGTGGTTGCTACCTTTGAATAGTAAAAATGTAGATTTTTAGTGTGTAGAAGAGGAAACTAAACCCAAGAGAATCTTACTGACTGAACATTTCATGATTCATTAGTGATAATTAAGACTGTTCTTTAAGTCTCTTGGTTTAAAGACTCATTCTATTTCTAATGCACCATAGCAGTGATGGTCAACCTTTTATTTATTTTTTGGTACCAGGGATTTAACTCGGGACCTTGTGCTTGAGGCAGGTGGTGGAACCACTGGGCTAATAAATCCCCAGCCATAAATAAATAAATAAACCTGATTACTGAGGTTTTAGTTGAGACAAAACAACACATACATTAATATCTATTGCCATAAAAGAAAAATAGCATGCATGCCATACATGGGTTTACCACCACTGCACTATGGTAGTCTCCTATTGTCACTGCCTTGAAAATTTAAGCTGCCTTATTTTCAGAGGAAATACTCAGTGAGGATGACAAGTTAAAATTTCATTTATATGGAAGGAAGAATAGAAAATCATAAACATACTCAGTTGTCTCATAGATTCACTTTTTTCAGATGTGCCCCCCCCCGAATGTTTTGAAGTTTTATTATTGGCTAGAGTGGAAACAGTGGGAACTAGCTAGCTTTGTATGTATGTATTTAATTTTATTTCTTTGAAATAGGGTCTTGCTATGTAGTTGAGGCTGGCCTTGAACTTCCTATGTATCCTGGGCTGGCCTTGAATTTGCGGCAATCCTTTTGCCTAGGCCTCCCCAGTGCTGGGATTACAGGGTGCCCCACCAGCTTTAGTTTCTTTCTTTTTCTTTTTTTTTTGTACTGGGGATTGAACTCAGGACCTTGCATTTTCAAGGCAGGCGTGGGCACCACTGAGCTAAATTCTCAGCCCCTACCAGCTTTTTAAAATATGAAATTCCGTATCTTCTACTGTGATAAACAAGTTGGTACTCAGTTTAGATGATACCAAAGTAGTTATGAGTTACTCTTTCCTGCACTTTTTTGTGAACATAATGACTTCCAGTTTCTTATTTTAAAAAGTCTACTTTATCCTGAGGACATTTAATCTCCTGACATAAGAATGTAGGCGTAACATTTTCACTGGTTTGTCTCATAACTTTTTAGAGTTTTTAGGATCATCTTTAAAGAAACCTTCAGTATATTGGTCTTTAATAAGATTCTCAGCAGTTTAATCTTGAACCCTGTTGATTTCCCTTGCTTTTTTTGTTTTTGTTTTGAGACAGGGTCTTTGCAATAGTTCTATAGTTCAGGTTAACCTTGAACTCATTTTGTAGCCCAGGCTAATCTTGAACTCACAGCAATCCTGCCTCAGCCTTCCTAGTGCTGGGATTACAGGCGTGCACCACTGCTCCACCTGGTTTCCCTTTCTTAAAGAGTTAGCTGTGGTATTTGTGTATGCCATTTAGAAGTGTAGGAAGGCTTGAGTATTGCATGGAAATAGTGGCATATGTATATATGAAACTATACTATATATGAATATATATAGTCTTGAAATAGCCTACTTTTCCTGCTTAGAAAGGCTTCCTGGAAATCATAATAAAAACTTTTTTCCCCTTTATTGGTACATTTTAGATATATAATACATTCATCATTGGAATCTTGTACCTTTACCTGGTGTATCTTGGTTCTAAATCATAAAATTAAAAGCAAAGTAAAATGCATGTGTCTATCTAAATTGATTGCAAGGATAACATTTTTATATAAAAGTAATACAATATACAAAGCCTGCCAAAAATGTATATATCAGGAAAAGGAAAACTTGTATAAATATTTTTAATACTAAGTTTATTGAGACATCATGAGATTAATAATTACCTTTGGCCTCTGCAATTATAAGAGATGCTCAAAGTGGTGGGTATTAGCTTCTAGATATTTATTAGTGCAGCGAAGTGCTGAAGAGTGTGTGTGTGTGTGTGTGTGTGTGTGTGTGTGTGTGTGTGTGTGTTTCTCTGCCCCACTTTGGTATTTTTTTTTTTTTTTTTGGTAGAGGGGTTTTTTGTTTGTTTGTTTTTGTTTTTGGTACCAGAGGTTGAACTTGGGACCTTGCACTTGTGAGGAAGGCGGTGTAATCACTGAGTTAAATCCCTGACCCAGAATGTTTTCTTGGTCAGTGTTTTTTCTTCAGATAGTTTAGAAAAGCCTTGTAAAGAGTAAGATAATCACTGAAGTGGAGGTTATCAAGTGGTGAGAGACATCAGTAGATCGAATTAACTTCTTGGGTTATAGTTCTAAGATTATTAGCTGGAGTACATCAGATATGACCATCTGAGAACTTATTTCTTTGTCAGCAGATCAACCTTGAGAAAATTATGTAATTCAGTTACAAGAAACAAGCTTTTATTGAATGAGTTAAGAGTTTCTTGATTAGAGAGAGCTTTATAAATTTCTTACTTAAAGCTGTTGTACTCTGACCACTGACTTACCTGGCAGTGGCTGTGGTATTGGAATGTGTTACATTCTGCCTGATGTATGTTACTGATGTATACAGAGCATTTGGCATCCCAAACCTCAGAAACTGATATGAAGAGGTCTCTAGTATAATATGGTGGATATGAAGTAGAAGGATAATCTTGTTACACTTTTTTAGTTCTAGTTTTATCAGATTTTGGAATGATTTAAAATGTGAATACTACTTTCATTCAGGCTCAGTTTTGTGTATATTTTGTATGTCACTTTTTTTATTCATCTCATACACCCACAATTTGGTATCATAGCAGAACCTAGTACTGAAGTTTTTACCTCTTCTACTATCAGACTCTTAATCTTGCTTTGTATTTGTACAGTCTCCCCCACCCCCTTTTCTCAAGTTTTAAAAATACCCCTTTGGAAAAAAATACTTGTAATTTAGCATACCTCATGCTGTGACGCCAGCTTTAAATCACAGTTTGAATAGTGTCCTTTTGGCTTGGGGTTGGGAAGTTGTTTTTGTTATTTTTTGGTCCTGGGGGTCGAAAGGGAAGATTTTAAAATAAGAATATATGTGACGTTATCTAGTAAGCTTGAAAAGGCATCTTGTAGAAATAGATCCTTGGGAAAACACTTAGATGGAAACATTTGAGGTCTATGAAAATGGAATTAACTGGAAATTTAGTGGTGCTACTGTTTTCCTAAGTGCTCTACTTATGACAGTTAAGTGTAGATTGAGCCCAGGGCTCAGCACATTAGAGACTTAAGGAAGAAATCATTTCTTCAATTTTTCCTCTGCAGTGGTGGTGACCGCGGTGGCTTCAAAAATTTTGGTGGTAAGTGCTGAGTATCCCAAAATGTTTCAGTGGAAATGCTATATAAATCTAAAAGCCACCAATGTCCCGCAGACGCAGTCTAAGCCCTTTCTTACTCTGTTGAGGCTGGTGTGTGTTGTGTGCTTTAAAAAAAAATTATATTTATATACATATATGTATATGAAAGTAAATTTTAAAAAGCCAGAGCTGATCTCAAACAGTCCAATGGGTTTCTACACAGTGTATTTGCATGAAAGAGTCTGTGGTGACAAATGACTGAGACTTTCACTGGATTTTGACAGTATCTTTTAAAATAAAGGTAGCTGGTGTGTGTTTTTAAATTATTAGGGTTTTCCAATCAGCCTTCACAACCAGAACATAACAAAAGTGATAATGCCAAAGTAGTGGGTGCCGTCTTGGACAAGATTAAGGAGGAAATGTTGACATTCATCTTGATTTCTTAAAACTTTTATTAAAATTTAATTTACATAGTTTGTAAATCTGTGATGGTTGACTTTCAGGGATTTTGGAAGTATTGACTTTTCATGCCTTGGTTGTTATTATTTTTAAAAAATTGTTTCAAATGAGTTGCCTTAAATACCCTTTTTTAAACTTTTTCCCTTAGGTCACAGGGATTATGGACCCAGACCAGATGCTGGTAAGGTTTATGGTAGTTCATAATTTTGCAGTTAAGGGATGTTAGTTTTCAACTTTTTAAAGGGGAAAGTGTATGTTTGGAACGATTAGTACAGGAGCAGGAGGAAGACAGTACTGCCTGAAGTGGAGAGCTTTATTTCTAAACATGCCAAAAAGAAATTTAGGGGCATTGATGGGAAAGTTTGCTGGGGAAATTGCTGTTTGTGTTTCCCCATGGTCTACTCTTTGTTCGTTGAAAAAACACTTTTCATTTTTACTGCTAATAAGCCTTAATTATTTAAATTATCACAAATCAGATTTAATGAAAGTATTGGTATTGGAGAATTAGAGGCCAAAAAGCTGTGTTTTAAGAATAGACTATATTGGGGCTGGGGATTTAGCTCAGTGGTTCCGCTGCCTGCCTCGCAAGTGCAAGGACCTGAGTTCAATCCTCAGTACCAAAAAAAAAAGAATAGCCTATATTGCCTTGATGTCTGCTTAGGGTATCTAGGAAACCTGAGTTTTCATAATGAGAGAATTGTCTTACTCTGGATAGAGGTCACTGATATTATGTGGCTTTTTATTTTTAAATGAAATTTAAGACTACAGATTTATTCATGGAGACTTAAAAGTTATGATTTAGAAGTTAAAAATCTATTTGAGCCAAAACCTTTTAATATATATTGAAATCAGAACTTTTGTTTTTGTTAAGATGCCAAAGTATTCTATATGGATGGCAATTTCTGAATTATCCCTTGATGGACTGAATTTTTGTACATCTTTCTTACTTTGTTGTACTAATCCAAAAGTGTGCATGTAAGGTAAGGTGTGTGTACAAGATGCTCCTACTGTCTGATGTACATAGGCTTATTGCAATGAGTGTGAAACCAACAGTTTTGTTTGGCTTGCTTGGAAATCCAAAGTGTCAGATTTGGGGGAATTTTGTCCTGAAGAGTCTTATTATAACTTCTGATTAGTCATAAAAAAAGTTAAAAGTTCTCCAAAGAAAGGAATGCTAATTTAAATTTATTCTTCCTCTCTTCATGAACTGTAGTCCTATATATGAATTTGAAAAGTGAGGTTTTATAAAGACCTCCCTTAATAGGCTTATTTTTATTCAGAGTATGGACTTGATGTACTTTACCTGAAGTTTAGTTGTAAGACTTAATCTACCATACAGTTATTGTAAACACTGCATGTTTACATAAATTTTTTTAAATTAGTCCTTTCATTTTGGTCTTAGAAACATTGAATATTAGGTAATAAATTTTTATTCTTGATTACTGAACAAGACGTAATAGAACTAAAGAATGTAATATTAACCGTAATTTTTTTCCCCTTAGATTCAGAATCTGATAATTCGGATAACAACACAATCTTTGTGCAAGGACTTGGGGAGGGTGTATCTACAGATCAAGTGGGAGAGTTCTTTAAACAAATAGGAATTATCAAGGTGAGTAAAAAGTGTGGCTTATGTTGAAAATTTCTTAATTATTAACATACTCTAGTTAAGATACATAATTTTATCATATGCTTATGTATTCCAGTAAGGTTTGTTTCTTAAGATCCTGTAATGTTCACATTTACGCAAGTCTGTAGACTTTTTGCTAAAAGTGTAGAAATTTTATTCCTTGTTTGTGTTTTATCTTTCTACAGTCTACCTGTGCTTCGACTTCAATCCTAGAGTTCTAAAAATAGTTTCTGCCTCTTAAAATTGAGAGAACCACCAGGCATGATATTGCAGTGCCTGTAATCCCAGCCTTGGGAGGCTGAGACAGAAGGACCACTACAAGTTCAAGGCCACCCTGAGCTATATAGTCAATTCAAGGCCTGAGCTACCTAGTGAGACAGTCTTAAATAAATCCCCCCAAAATTTGAGAGACTCAAAAGAAACTGTTGGAATGTTAAAGATTTTGAAATCTATAAATATGGAAATTCAAGTTGTTACTAACAACTATATTTGGTATTTAATGTCTATACTGTCCCATACATAATGTGTTATTGTGTAATTATTCACTTCAGTATCGTGTGCACTGTTTATTTCAATCTTATTTTTATTAATCTTTTTAACTAGAAAGCAGCTTTTAGAGTAGTTTTAAGTAGATAATAACACTTGATTGAAAACAAATCGCATTTGTCTTTTTTTTTGAGAGAGGGTCATGCTATGTAATTCAAGCTGACCTTGAATTCACTGTGTAGCTCAGGCTGGCCTCAAACTTGTGGGGATGTTCCTGCCTCAGCAAGAGTGCAGGGGTTACAGATGTGTGCCACCATCCCCTGCCTTTGTCCTTTTTTTTTTAGCTCTAAAGAGGAAAAATAAAACCCTTTATTACAATAGGAATAAAAATTTAATAAAAACAAAACCGTATCTAAAACAGATCTGCTGTAGACAGAAAATGCACATTGACAGGAAATTCACCAGACATCACTCCTAAAATCCAATTTTTATTTATTTATTTATTGAGTTTTTTGTTTTGTTTTTTGTTTCTGGCAAGATCTCCCTTCTTAGTTCAGGCTGGCCCTGAACTTGCTGTGTAGCACAGGCTGGCCTTGAACTTACAGCAATCCTTCACCTCAACCTCTACCGAGTGCTGGAATTATAGGTGTGTGCCACCACTCTCGGCTCCTTAAAGTCCAATTTTAATGCAGCCGCTTTTTATCTCTGTCCCCCGAAACCGTGAATCCTTAAGTTAGGCAAATTGTCTGACCCATCTTGGTTGATCAGTGGTGTAAACTATTACTTTGTATGGATCTTGGTATCTGCATGTTTTCCATTAACATTGCTTTGATGTGGAATTACTCGTTTTATTTTTCTTCTTGGGGAATTACATTTAAAAAAAATATTTAAATGTGAAATATGTAAAGAATTTAGTTTTATAAAGTAAAACTTCTACTTTCTGAATATCCTTCCTGACTTTTAAATGATTTACAAAGTATATATATTTACATGAAACATTATCTACATTTAATTTTTGTGGGGTTTAAATTATATGTAGATAAGCAGGTATACTGTCTCATCCCCCCGTCTGTCTACCCCTACCATCCCCCCAGTGCTGGGTTTCAAACCCAGGGCCTCCTGCATAGGCAGAAGATGCTCTTCTATGGAGCTGTATCTCCAGCCCCTATAACATTTTTAAACCTTGTTTTTCATTTACTTTAGTTTGGAGAGTTTTTGTTCAAACCTATGGAAAATTTCAATTTTATATTAATAATAGATAACCTTATTTTTTAGATTAGGTGTATATTGTAGTATGGATATGTGAATTTTTCAAAATCTTTTATTATCTAAATGGTATAATTTTCACATATTCTTGAAATGCTGACCTCATCTTGTTTCTTTTCTCAGACAAACAAGAAAACTGGAAAACCAATGATAAATCTTTACACAGACAAAGACACAGGGAAGCCAAAAGGGGAGGCAACAGTGTCATTTGATGATCCTCCTTCAGCTAAGGCAGCCATTGACTGGTTTGATGGTATGCCTTATTTGTATAGTTTTCAATAAGTTTCTAGTATGAAAGTCAAAATATATTCTAGGATACTGATTGTAGTATTCATTTTTACTTTTGGAAATATTAGTGAAAGCCAGAGTTTTTGTGTACTTATAAAATGAGCCCTATCTTTATTGGTCTAGAATATTTTCTTATACCGTACCTTGCATGAGACATAACCCTAACCCTGATATGAGTATTAGAGATTTGGCCTGGTTGACTCTATATAGTCTTTAAAATTTTAGTTTCCTTTTTGATATAAAGTTAACATATAATTAAAGAAATAGTAAGACTTTTTTTTTTTTCTTTCTACTGATTTGTGGTATCTAAAATCTACATAGAGCCGGGGATTTAGCTCAGTGGCTCCGCCACAAGCATAAGGTCCTAAATTCAATCTTCTCTACCCCCCAAAAAATAAATAAATAAATAAAATCTATATAGAGATAGCCACTGATCCTTATAATAGTCTTTTAAGCTTATCGTGATGTTCCCAATAGAAGTTTGTCTCATGCTTTTATCATTTAACCTTTTAGCATAGTTATTTCTCCATGTTATTACAAACCCATTGTTTTTTATATCCTAATTATTTAATAAAAATAACAACACTGCATGTTTATGAGCTAGCCACAGTTTTCCGTGTTGGAAGTGAATCTGTAGCTTGGCACAGGTATGCAAATTTTCTACTGTTGAGCCACATTCTCAGCCTTAGGCATAGTTCTCAGAGCTTAACACACATTAACCCAGTTTAACACCCCCCCCCC